GCTTCTCCTTTTCATTAAGCTGCTCTCACCTCCCAAAACGCTCAAGCATAAATATTAAAAATTCTGTGTTAGGGAACATTAATTTATAAAGTAAACATTAAAGAAATATAAATCTGTATTCAATTAAGAATCTTAAGGGTTCTTAAACTTAGTGTTTTTGTTTCCTTTCATGGCTTAAGAGAAATCTTCATCTTTATCAATGGTTGTCTTTGCACTTTGGCCTCCTCCTTTGTCTGCTAAGTTAAAAGTTATTCCCTAGAAGTTTCCAGCTTCTCTCTCATCTTTATCTGCTTTTCCCTCTCACACAGCTTGGGAAAAGCTCTAAGGATAAAGAGTGCAAGCAATCAGTGTTGATTTTCACACACAGGCAGAGTAAATCTCACTGATTGCTACTTTCCCATCAGAAGGGAGCAGTGTTCTCAAAGTAGAGAAACTTCTCACTTTCCAGTATTTGCTGGATTTTCTGGTCAGTGATTGATTTTATACTGAGCCCTGAGGGAAGGAACTCAACAGCAACTTCCATAGTCTGTTGTTTGTTTGTTTTTATTATTATTTGACTTTCTGACCAGTTAGTATATTCACATAGAACAGTATTCAAAAGGTATAAAAGGGTACTCAGCAAAGTCTCCTGTCCTCCCAACTTTTTGTCCTCCAACCACTCAGATCCTCTTCACATAGGCAACCAGTGTTATCAGTGTCTTTTATATTCATCTATCCAGAGAATTTCTCAGAACATAACTTTTAAAATATATTGAAAGGGAGCATAGAAAGATACTTGGAACAGATCTATCATATTAGTAATGCCTTCTGGCATTTATCTGTTGCAAGGAAATCTTATAAGACTATTTAAAGGGGCAGAAATTTAAAAGATATACTTCCATGTAGATAAAACTGTGTTACACTTTGACTCTACCTCTGTATTATACCTCTCTACCCAACAGGGACAACCAAATTGTGAACATAATCCAAAAGGTATGAGAACTAAAACCCAGGAAAACTCAGCCTACTTTTTTTTCGTAGTAAAAACAGATTTAATCTAGGTTTCTTTTTTTCCAGCTTTATTGAGATATAATTAACATAATATTGTGTAAGTTTACAGTGTACAATGTAACTATTTGATACATGTATGGATTGTGAAATGTTTACCATAATAAGGTTAGTTAACACATGCTTTAACTCATATAATATTTTGTTGTTACAGTGAGAACATAAAAGCTATACGCTCATAGTGACACTCAAGTATACAATACAGTATTGTTAAATATAGTCACCATGCTGTACATTAGATCCCTGGACTTTTTACCACTTGTAACTGGAAGTTTGTACCCTTTTGACAATGTCTCCCATTTTCTCCACCCCTCAGCTCCTGTAAACTACCATGCTACTCTATTCTATGAGTTTGATGTTTTTAGATTTCACATATAAATGAGACCATGCAGTATTTGTCTTCCTCTATCTGACTTATTTCGCTTAAAATAATGCAGTCGGGTCCATCCATGTTGTCACAAATGGCAGGATTTTCATTTTATGGCTGAATAATACTACATTTTATATATACAGGGTGGGACAAAAGTGGGTTTACAGTTCACATGAAAAATAATACAATAATAAATAATACAAAAATAAACACTATTTTGCGTGCTCATAACTGTTAACCTACTTTTGCCCCACCTAGTATAACACATTTTCTTTATCTGTTCGTCTGTTGATGAACACTGGGGTTGTTTCCATGTGTTGGCTACTATGAATAATGGTGCAGTGAATGTGGGAGTGCAGATATCTCTTTGAGATAGTGATTTTATCATCTTCTGATATATATATACACCTGGAAGAGGGATTGCTAGATCATATTGTAGTTCTATTTTTAATTTGAGGAACCGTCATACTGTTTTCTGTAGTGACTATCAATTTACATTTCCACTAACAGTGCACCAGGGTTCCCTTTTCTCCATATCCTCAACAACACTATCTCTTGGCTCTTTGATGATAGCCATTCTGACAGGTGAGATTATATCTCATTGTAGTTTTGATTTACATTTCCCTGATGAGTAGTGATGTTGAGCACCTTTTCATGTACTTGTTGGCCATTTGTATGTCTTTGGAAAAATGTCTTTTCAAGTCTTCCGCCCATGTTTTCAGATTGTTTGTTTGCTATTGAGTTGTATCAGTTTCTTATATATTTTGGATATTAATCCCTTATTTGATATGTGGCTTGCAAATATTTCTCCCATTCTGTAAAGTTGCCTTTCATTTTGCTGATTGTTTCTTTTTCTCTACAGAAGCATTTTTAGCTTGCTGTCCCATTGGTTGATTTTTGCTTTTAGTATCCTATCCAATAAGTCACTGTCAAAACCAACTTCAGGAAGCTTTTTTCTGAAGTTTTCTTCTAAGAGTTTTATAGTTTCGAGTCTTGCATTAAGTTCATAATCCATTTTGAGTTAATTTTTATGCGTGATATAACGATTCAATTTCAGTGGAGGGGATGGATTTGAAATAAGAATAGAGTGGTCAGCAATTGATGGTAGCTTGGATATGGGCTTTGGGAGAAGGAATCAATAATAGTGCTCAGGTTTCTGGCTTTGGTGACTAGGAAGAGAGATAACCAGTCTTTATTTTTATTTATTTACTTATTTTATTGACTTGAGAGAGAGAAATATCAGTTTGTTTTTCCACTTACTTATGCTTTCATTGGTTGCTTTTTGTATGTGCCCTGACCAGGGATTGAACGTGCAATCTTGGCATATCCAGATGACACTCTAACCAACTGAGCTACCTGGCCAGGGCTAGATATCCTTCTTTAAAACCAGGATTAGCCCTAGTTGGTTTTGCTCAGTGGTTACAGCATCGGCCTGTGGACTGAAGGGTCCCAGGTTCGATTCTGGCCAAGGGCACGTACCTTGGTTGCAGACTCAGTTGACAGCCCTGGTCGGCCCACGAGTGGGAGGCAACCAATTGATGTGTCTCTCTCACATCAATGTTTCTCTCTCTCTCTCCCTTCCACTCTCTCTGAAAAGCAATGGCAAAAATATCCTCAGGTGAGGATTTAAAAACACACACCCAGATGCTGTTTTTACATAGGTGGTAGTTAAGCTAACTCTCCCCTGTCATCTACTTGATTTTTTCCCTTACTTTTTTTATATAATTTTTTTAAAAATTCTCACCGAGGATATTTTTTCCATTGCTTTCCAGAGACAGTGGAAGGGAGGCTGGGGGGAGGGGACATCCGTGTGAGAGAGGCACATCAATTGGTTGCTTCCTGACCATGGAGAGAGCCTGTAACCAAGGTGTGTGCCCTTGGGCGGAATCGAACCTGGGACCCTTTAGCCCACAAGCCGACACTCTATCCAATGACCCAAACTGGCCAGGGCTAGCTGATTTTCTTTAAATATAGAACGGGGGGAAAGGGGGACTCCGAAAAAATGAAAAATAAATAAATAAAGAACGTACTAATTTTCCTAGTTATATTTCATCTTCATTTTGACCCGTCATTTTAGGCAATTATAATCATGTTATCCAGTGTGGTGTTGACTGTTTCCCAGTTTTAGGGTATCTGGAGATTTTGAAGCATTCTTTCCACATCTTCCAAGTTCTTGATAAACATCACAAAAGCGGAGACTCTCCAGTCCATCCCCCAGCTTAATCAGTGCTACTTACAAATGGTTCTGTTAACCATTGTTCTGTCATCCATCTGCATCTCTTCTTCATATCTGCAAAGATCTCATTTTTACATTCAACAGATTTTTATTCAGCACCGACCATGTGCAAGCAGGTGCTAGAGATAGAGTGAAGACAGCAGTCCCTGTTTTGTGGAGCTAACAATCTAGAGATAGCAGTAAATATTTTGTTAAATGTTCTGAAGAAATTGGGTTACACGATTCTCTGTGTTATTCTCCTAAACTGGTATCATATCAGAAAAGGGAATAATGAAGCATTACTTTTTGCAGACTTTATATTGGCTGCTAATGAACTAGCATCTGAAAATGGGATTCATTACCTTTCTCTTTTCTCCTTTCATGATTTCACAGTAATTTTGAGCTTTGGAAGTTTTTGGAGTTCATTGATGTACTTTCTTTTGGCTGTATCTTTTACAACTCTGAGCTCATTAGAGAGCAGCCTTTTTAGCCACATTTTTGTTGGTGGTGGTATAAACACCACCCCCACATACAGACACACATTGTCAGGGTCCTTTTTTATTTTTTAGTAAACTTAGTTATGAAGAATTTCTGTCCAAGTTTAGCCATTTTCTCTTCCACAATCTTTGTTGCTCAGATTTTATTTATATTTTATCTTTGTATTTTGAAATGATCTTTCCTAAGGAAAATGGCTGACTAGCCTCAGATTTTCTTTCCTTTGAGTTCTTAAGGTGCCATCGTCACTTTCTCCAGGATCCTGGTCCTTCTCACTTAAACTACTTATTTCCCTTTAATTCACCAGAATTAATCCCAGAGGAGCATAAAACTGCAAAATTTTAACGGTATTCTGAGGGATTAAACTATCAGAGTACAAATTGTTTTTTTATTAGAATGATACAAAGAGCAGATGTCCTCATAGGTCATAGGAGATAGCTCACCTGTCGCCTTTGCAAGTGTGGATTCTTATTATCAGTCATTTGTCATCCATGTCCTTCCTCTGACCAATTCCCACAACTGTATCATTTCTACCTACTTTTCTTTCCCCTTTGGTTCAATGGCCTCCACTATAGTGTCATATTCATATTGTGGGATTTTCACATAGATACTCATTTTCTTAAACAGTTGTGAGGATTCCCTATCTTTTTCTGTGGATCTGTCTCTGTGGAACAGCAGATTTCCTATAGAAGTCATAGTCTGTTGTTACTTATTATTACCCCATCCCACCAAATCTTGGTGATTTCCATGAGATTTTATTTATCTTCTTGTTCTTTTTTACTATTGCTACTTTTAAGTATAGTGTCTAACACACTAATGTTCATTAAGTAATTTTTATGATTAATCTCAAGAAGTATTTGCCTTCTCTTTTAGGCTGTGAGGATATCATTGCTGAGAGCATCTCATTAGATACCTTAATTGCCATCCTCAAGTGGAGTTCTCATCCATATGGCTCTAAATGGGTGCACCGACAAGCTTTACATTTCCTCTGTGAGGAATTTTCCCAGGTCATGACTTCGGATGTTTTTTATGAGCTCAGCAAAGACCATCTGCTTACTGCTATCCAGTCTGACTACCTACAGGTAATCATTTATACACCTCTCAGATTCATTGTCATTCATATGTGCACCAAGAAACCCATCTGTACTCTATTATTGTCCCATCTAGGGATATCAACCCACCCAGGAATGCCCTCTTCACGTTTGTACAACAAAGCCTTCTGCTCTCTGGCCCTTCTTGCATTCTGCTGCTGACTCAACATTGTGAACTATTCCTGGGTCCTGGCCAACCACACCAAAGGGATTGAGGCAGTAGGCAGGGTCAGAAGCATATCCCAACAGTGATTTTCTTGGTTTCTACTAATAGTAAATTCACTATACCAGTTTCTTATTTTTGGTGGAGTATGAGATACTTAGACTGTAGCTTAAGCAGCACAAAGTAGAATAATAATTTCTGATCTACTCCAGTGCTCATAAAAACTCTATATATGTGTACTGCCAGAGTACAATAATGTTTTCAACTACTTATTTTTAATCAGAAGCAGTTTTAGCAGATTCTGTGTTCTTGACTTACATATCCGTCTAATTTGGTAATTAAAACTAACAGTAGATTTAAAATAGGGCAAAAATATTTTTAGGTGAGATATGTTCAAGCTTAATTTTCTTTTGTATTGGTTGTATGAATTTTATACTGAAAATTATATAACAGTTTTTATGTTACGGAGACAAAAATCCATTGAGCCATTTCCTATTTTTTTTCATACTTGTACTAGGGAAGTTATAAAATGCTTTCATCTTAGTCAGAAGTGCAGTGAAGAGTTAAATAATCCATTTAGTATCTGTGCTTTGATTGCAGTACAAATGTTGTCATATTGGATTTGATTTATTTAGGATCTGTGTTTATTAACCTTATTTTACTGTCCTGATCCAGACTGCGTGCATTATGGGAGTTAGAATTTGTTACTGCTCTCAGATTATTGTCTTTAGAAGCTTTGTATTTCTTCTTAGAAAGTAAAAACCTTGGAGAGCAGCCTAGATTTGCTTTAATATTTTAGATAATATATGAAGAAATGAGCGGGCATGTTGGCATTTCTCAAATTGTGCTTAAAGGGTCTTTGACCAATCAGTAGAATACCTTGTGGGAATTGTTCCTGCAGGAGATAGTAGCCACTCTGCATCCGTATACTTTGACTTTTATTTATCTCCATCTTGTCCCCAAAAGAATGTAAGGTAGCTGTATAAAGACCATATAGTAAGATAAAATACATTTAAAATAGGTGAAGAGAACAAGATAAAGAAAAAAATAAAGATGGAAGTAAGAATAGAAAATATAGTTGGAGCCAAGAGTGCAGTTACTGGACAAAACCCATGTAATACAATCTTGTGTATTTGCTATTGATGGACAGAAAGTTTAACTTGAACATTTCAGCCAGCCAGTGTAAAGAGTGAAATGTGGTAAGTTGCATGTTGTATTTACTTTATGATATAGGAGAAGCCATTAATGAAATTAACCGTTTACCTAATTTCACCAAAATAAGTATAAACATTTTTTATTATAGGCAAGTGAACAAGATATCCTTAAATATCTGATTAAATGGGGTGAGCACCAGCTGATGAAAAGAATAGCAGACAGAGGTAAGCTCAGAAAACTAGCTGCACTGTTTTTCCCTGAAGCTTACTGGCATGATGCTACATGTCAGGCTTGACAATGGCCATTGTTGCCTGTTGAAAATAAAAATTTTTACAGTTGGCAAAATCCTTTGGCAGAGAGGGTATACTTTGTTAGAAATAAATATGTCACAAGCTTATATTTTGCAGCTTTAAAAGGATACTTTTTTAAAAAATGGATTTTTAGAGTGGAAGAGAGAAAGAAACAACGATTTGTTGTTTCACTCATCTGTGCATTCATTGGTTGATTCCTTTTAAAAAAAAATGTTTTTACTGATTTCAGAGAGAGGGAAGAAGGGAGGGAGAGAGGGAGAGAGAAAGATCAGTAATGAGAGAGGATCATCTGTCAGTTGCCTCCTGCACACCCCCTAATGGGGATGGAGCCCGCAACTTGGGCATGTGCCCTGATCGGGAATTGATCTCCTGGTCCATGGGTCAATGCTCAATCACTGAGCCACACCGGCTGGGCTGATTCTTTTATTTATATCTAGGGTTGTCCACCCCCCCTGTACTCCTTTCATCATAGAATATTGTATTCCTATATAATGAGCCCAAAACAAAAAACTTTAATTAGAAAAATTAAATACAGATTTTCCTTCCCTGTTACTTTTCAACAGTTTTATTTAGATATAACTTACATACCGCAAAGTTCAACTCTTCAAAGCGTTCAGGTCAGTGGTTCTTAGTAATAAGTTTATAGAGTTGTTCTGCCACATTTTTAAATATGTAAAAATATCCAGCATGCTGCCTTCTTTTTCGTCCTCACCCGAGGATGTTTCCATGCTTTTCAGAGAGAGTCATGGGGAGGGGGAGACATCAGTGCGAGAGACACATACGTTGGCTGCCTCCCTCACAGGCCCGACCATGGCCAGGCCCTGAGCCTGCAACCGAGAGGTACGTGCCCTTGGCCAGAATCAAACCCGGGACCCTCAGTCCACGGATTGATGCTCTAACCACTGAGCACAACCGGCTGGGGCACTATACTGCCTTCAGACCTTTCTGTATATCCCTTTAATACACTACTACTCAAGTGCTAGGGAACAAAAGCAGTCTTCCTGTTTGATTTCTCTTAATTTATTTCTCTGTGGCCTGCAGAAGCCTTTAGCAAGTCTCAGATTTGAATTTTTTTTAACATAAACCATTACTATTAATTTGGGACATTTTTGAAATGCCAGTATATNATACACTACTACTCAAGTGCTAGGGAACAAAAGCAGTCTTCCTGTTTGATTTCTCTTAATTTATTTCTCTGTGGCCTGCAGAAGCCTTTAGCAAGTCTCAGATTTGAATTTTTTTTAACATAAACCATTACTATTTGGGACATTTTTGAAATGCCAGTATATAGTCTGTCCCCCTTACTTGCAGATGGTTTATTTGCAGATTCATCTACTTGCTAAAATGTATTTGCAATTTACAAGTCTGTGCTCTTGGGATTTTCATGGGCATTTGCAGACATGTACAGAGTGACAAAAAATTTGAGTCCCCTGATGCGTATGTTTCCAGCTTAAGGTTAAGCAAGGTGATGCTGTACTTTCTTGTTACTGCTTATATTGTAAACGTGTCCTTTCACAGTGTATTTAGTGCCATGTTTTTCACATTCTTATGGGGTTTGGAGGTCATCTCTGTTTAAAATGGTCTCCAAGTGTAGTACTCAGTGCTTTCTAATGTTCCTAAGCACAAGAAGGCTGTCATGTGCCTCACAGAGAAAATGTGTGTTAGATAAGCTTTGTTTTCAGGTATGAGTTACCTGTTGGTAGTGAGTTCGGTGTTAATGAGTCAACATATATATTAATAAGGTGTCTTTAAACAGAAACACACATAAGACAAAGTTATGTCTGGCTAGTTGGCAAAAGTGTTGTGACTAGAGGCTCACTGTAACCTACCCCTGTGTTTCCCTTAGAAGCGGTGATTCAGTGTTCACAGTCACTTTATAGAATATAGCTGCCCAAGTAACAAGAATTGGGTGTATGTCATGTTACATAATCATTATAGGCCGTAGGTTTTTTCATTGACATAGGTTCGTAATGTCATAATTATTTGGGACAGATAATGACCGTAATTGATAAAATTTCCCTTAAAATAGTGGCTCAGTTGGTTGGAGCATCACCCCATACACAAAGGTTGTGGGTTCTATTGGGGCACATACAGGTGGCAGCCTATTGATGTTTCTCTCTCATTGATGTTTTTCTCTCTAAAATCAATAAAAAATCATATCCTTGGCTGAGGATTAGAAAGAAAAATTAGTAGTTTCCAGACTGGCTTAGAATGTCAGGCTCTTTTACAGGGATGAGAATGAGGCTAAGCAAACAGGTTTCCCTTTGTTTCAGTCAGCCTCGTTAGATGAGCGTCCTGCCCTTACCTCTTACATGTTTGGGAGTTTAATGTAACATTTCACTTGAAAACAGGATGCCACTACTAAAGAAAAAAAATTTTGAAAGCAGTGCCTTGTGTAAGTGTGAAGCCAAATCATAGCGAGGCGAGGACAAACTCTCTTTCACACACTTGCAGTGATTTTATTTCAGACGACTGCAGTAAAAGCTTAGCTTCTCAAAAACAACCTCTTTACCTGTCTATCACATGATTTAAGGGAAATACCAGTTTGCCTACAGACTTTGCAAAATATCTAGCATTTATATTTGTAAATTATAAGGGTCTTTAAAAAAAAATACAGCCCCCCCTAGATTAAAGACATGATTAAAGATTCCCAAAATTTATGTAAATTTTTCCCACTTCAGTATCATAAACATAAGTACTTCAGATCTTCCCCTTTTACTAATACCCAATAAGGAAAACCTTTATTCTCTGCCCTGGACAATGGAAATATATTATACATGTCAGAGATCAAAGGGTTCACTCATGTGCAGTAACATTCTCATTATGGAAATTTGGGAGACTAGCATAAAAGTCTTCGTGTGTACCTTATTTTGCTGCCAGGAGATTAATATCTTGTTAAGTTGCTGTTAAACAAATGGTAGCCTAATGAGTGCCATTAACCTACAGTGACTAGAAATAGCACTTGCCCTACAATGTCCTTATTGTACTAAAAACTGGTCACAGAAGTGAGAAAGCTTAAGAAAAAGCCCTGGGTCAAACTAGATTTTAATAGATTGTCATCTTTTTTCCTTTGAGTTAGTATATAGAAAAGAATCCTATTCTTCAGTGCAGAAAAAATCATAAAAGAGTATTATTGTACTGTTGACACTATGCTTTTCTCTGTCAGAGCATCTTTATTAACTAACCTTCCTAAGACATAAATATAATGTATAAACCATTTTAAAATAGATGTACTTAAGCCAGACTGGTGTGGCTCAGTGCTTGAGCATCGAGTTATGAACCAGAAGGTCAAGGTTCAGTTCCTGGTCAGGGCACATGCCCAGGTTGCAGACTCGATCCCCAGTAGAGGGCGTGCAGGAGGCAGCCAATCAGTGACTCTCATCGATGTTTCTCTCTCTCTCCTTCTCCCTTCCTCTCTCTGAAATCAATAAAAATATATTTTAAAAAAATTGATGTACTTAAGTATAAAGAATGAGACTGAAAGTGTACTAGAGAAGAAAGAAAGCCTTTCTCTGAAAATTTGGATTTGGTTGGAGACTTTTCATTTTCTGTCTCATAGAGCCAAACTTACTGAGTGGCACTGCTCATAGTGTGAACAAAAGAGGTGTAAAAAGACGAGACCTGGACATTGAAGAGCTTCGAGAGATCCTTTCTTCTCTCTTACCTTTTGTTCGAATTGAACACATCTTACCTATAAACAGTGAAGTCCTAAGTGATGCAGTAAGTGTCTGTCTTCATTTATCCCTTTCATGAAAAGAAGTGCCCTAAAATGTACAGGTATATCTTTATCATTGTAAATAATTTCTACTACTAATGGAGTATTGTGAAGTCAGAGACAGATGTCTGTTTTGAACTAACTATATTGTATGTCCCGTGTCTGGCGCACAGCACAAAGAAATGTTTGGTAAATGAGAGTTGAGTGGGTATATCATTGTTACTTTTGCAAGAGGATAGTTTCTTAGGGTTTAATTCAGCATTTGTCAGTGTAGATCAAGTATATCCTTATTAAAAAGGGAAAGGGTAGAAATTACCTTTGGAGACTCTTCAAGAACAGCAGTAAATCAGGAAACAGGAGGAAAGGAGAATGAATGGTTCAGTGTAAAAAGGATGAATGACTCTTTCAGTGGTATTTCAGTTAAAAATTAATGGAATGGATCATGTTAATTTTATAATTTTTTTAAGTGAATTTTTAAACTAATAGAATTGTTCAAATTAATGGATGGGAAGATAAGTATTAGTTCCTCATACATTGGTTTATAACTTCAGTGTAATGCTGTAAACATACAGTTTTTAAAAGTTCTCTAAAAAGAACGTAATTAAGGATGGATAACTCTTCCAGAATGTAAAGTATATTTTAAAACCCTAATATTTAATCTGTGATGCTAGCATTACAGGCCAGACAAAATAGCCTAGAAAAAGATCCTAATTAACAAAAGAATTAAACATAATAAATGAGCTATCACAAATCAGTGTGGTGCTAGACTGATGAATGGGGAAGGAAGGAAATTTGTTTAAAGTTAAACCCTTATTTCATTTGCACACAAAATTAATTCCTGTTAGATTGAAGAATTAAATATTAAATTGAAACATGGAAAACTAGAAGAAAACAATTAAATATTTATGGAATCTCTGATTAGAAAAATGTTCAGTCTCATTTGTAATCACATACCCCAAAGAAAGCAAACTAAAACCGTAAGTTCTCATCTTTTCACCTATTAGGTCAGTAATTTTTGAAATAATATTACTATCACATAGGAGGAGTATAGCTGGTACATTGGTAATGTTGTCATTAAATATTTGGAAATAGCCTAAATATCTAAGAATAGGGAAATAAGTGAATTATAGTACAACCACTCAACAGAATATTTTGCTGTCCCGAACAATGCTTATATCACTACTATAGCGACATGGAAAATGCTGACAATGGAATATAATTTTAGAAAGAAGGGTATAAAATGTGTATTTTATGTATTCTAGAATGCAGTTATGTTAAAATTCATTTGAGAAAAAGAAGGAAATAAAGCAACATTATTACAGTTGTAATAGATTAGAGTTTTTCTCTAAATACATCTAATGTTATCTTTTATTAAAAATAATTTTAACTAATACAGCAATTAGACATTTATTATGTTTAACAAGAATAATATTGGATAAACAGTGTTTGGTTTTGTTTAAAATCTGGCACTCAAACCAAGTTGAACCCTGAATTTGATTTAGAAAAATATTTTAGAACTTGAGTTTAGTAGACTTAGAAAAAATATATCGATACTCTTAATTCCATGGCTACCACATAATAAGTCTCCAGTAAAAGTTTGTTAATAATAGCTGTTAACCAGAAGGGCTAAGCACTGTACCAAACCTCATTTAATCCTCACAGCCACTTTATGAGCTGTGGGTACTTGTTTTATATTCTCTTAGCAGCAATGAGGGAATAACAGGGCCACCACATTTAGTAAGTTGTGTGGTGTCCCCATCTCCAGGGCCATCTAAGGCCCAGATGAAAGGAGCTGTCCACTAGGGTTCCCTTTTCTCCACATCCTTCCGAGCACTTGTTATTTGTTAATTTGTTGATGGTAGCTAGTCTGACATGTGTGAAGTACACTGCTGCTGGGAATGCACACTGGTGCAGCCACTATGGAAAACAATATAGAGGTTCCTCAAAAAATTAAAAATGGAAGTGCCATTTGGCCCAGTGATCCCACTTCTAGGAATATATCCTAAGAATCCTGAAACACTAATCAGAAAGAATATATGCACCCCTATGTTCATAGCAGTGCAATTTACAGTGGCTAAGAAGATCTGGAAATGGCTCAAGTGCCCATCAGTAAATGAGTAGATAAAAAAGCCATGGGATATTTATACCATGGAATACTATGCAGCTATAAAAAAGAAGGGTCTCTTACCCTTTGAGACAGCCTGGAGGGACCTGGAGNGACAGCATGGAGGGACCTGGAGAGGATTATGCTAAGTA